GTTGAAAGCACTCAAGTTCATTCAAAAAGAGAAGGCTGGGCGCGGTGGCTCACGCCTGTCATCCCAGCACTTTGGGAGGCCGAGGTGGGTGGATCACCTGAGGTCAGGAGTTCCAGACCAGCGTGGCTAACATGGCAAAACCCTGTCTCTACTAAAAATATGAAAATTAGCCAGGTGTGGTGGCAGGCACCTGTAATCTCAGCTACTCGGGGGGGCTGAGGCAGGAGAATCACTTGAACCTGGGAGGCAGAGGTTTCAGTGAGCCGAGATCGCACCACTGCACTTCAGCCTGGGCAACAGAGCAAGACTCTGTTTCAAAAAAAAAAAGAAAGGAGGATGGGTGCGGTGGCTCATGCCTGTCATCCCAACACTTTGGCAGGCTGAGGTGGAGGATCACTTGAGCCTGGGAGGTTGAGGCTACACTAAGCCATGATTGTTCCACTGCGCTCTAGCCTGGGCAACAGAGTGAGACCCTGTCTCCAAAAAAGGGAGAAAGAGTCCTCAAGGGCTGATGCATGTCCTCTCAATTGCAGACCATCCATAATGTACGTGCACACAGCCCAGGGGCTTTCTCACCACAAAGAATTCCTCTTCCATGTAAGTACTTATTATTGTAAAGCTATAGGTGGCAAAGCAACACCCGCTTTGAGTCCCTACTCTGATTTTAATTTGCAGATACATGGGGAAAACCTCTTCGGAGCAGAATACCAGTTGCAAATTTGTGTCCCAACCAAATTACGAGGTCTCCAGATTGTAACAGTGAAGAACCTGACGAGGACTCAGGTATTTAAAGGCAGTTCTTTATCACAATCGCATCTTTTTCCAGAGTGACTATAGAGTCTCAAGTATAAAAAACCAGAGTTCTAGAAACGGAGGAAAGACAAGTTAACCATGGGAAAAGACTAGGAGTAAATTACCGAAATCCTGTTCAGAAGGAATCTCAATCACTCAGATCTTAAAGCAACCTGTCAGTTTTCCTCCCGTTGAGGAAAAATAAGCAAAAATTAAAACCTTGTCAGTAGACAGAGACATCTCCCCTTTGAAAATTGGTAAATTCTGCTTCTCTGTTTGACGGATACATGTGACATTTCTTACACTGCCCCCTGTAAGTTGCTTACTAGCTTCCCTTCTTCTCCCCTGAGACTCTTTTTTTGGTCTCTGCTTTGCCTCAGCCTCTTTACTTTCAGTTGTCTCATCTGTATTCTGGTTCCCAGAGCTAGCCTTGATACCTGAAGCAACAGGCTCTGCTCAGTATGACGGCTGAAGCCTGGGCTTTTTTGTCTTTTTTTCTCATACTACATCAGTGTCAAGGCTCAAAAAATAGAAACGAATTTACAGAAACGACTCTGCTGACAATTAGAAAGAGGGCTTACAGGTCAGGTACCATGGCTCACGCCTGTAATCCCAGCTACTCGGGAGGCTGAGGTAGGAGAATTGCTTGAACCCGGGAGGTGGAGGTTGCAGGGAGCTGAGATGTGCCACTGCACTCCAGCCTGGGTGACAGAGCAACACTGTCTCAATACAATAAAATAAAGAGGGCTTACAAATATAAACATTTGCATTCATATGCAGTTTATTTATTTTTAAAAATAGAGGCAGGGGTCTTGCTATGTTGACCAGGCTAGATTTGAATTCCTGGGCTCAAGTGATCCTCCTGCCTCAGCTTCCCGAGTAGCTGGGACTACAGGCGCACGCCACCGCGCCCAGCTAGTTTACTTTTTAAAGAACGTTTGTTATCAGCACATTTAAACATTTCAACAAATATTTCAGTTTCCATTTGGAAACAAAATTCTTGTTTGAAAAGCTGACTGGAAGCCTGTGAGAATGGGAGTTCCACCCTGCTCTGAGGATGGAGGCTGAAACAGCATCAGAGGCTTCAAGACCAGCCTCCTCTCACCTGGGGGCAGTCAGACACACTGAGCTTACTTAAACAGACTGTGCTGGCAAAGCAAGTCAGCGGCAGAGCTGAAGTTCAGCATTGTCCTGTGGAACTCCCGGATCTGCTTCCTGATCTGCTTCATGGCAGGAGTGTTACATTTACTCTTGAAGGTCATTTGTTTCAGAATCTTGTCTGTCAGGTAATGTAGCCAGAGCACATTACTATAAGGGTGATATTCTCCCCAGCAGTTGTTATTCTCCTTCTTCATGAGCCTGTAGATGTCAAACTGGTAGTCGCCGTCACCGGTAAACAGGTCCTCGTCCATGGAAACGTCACAGAAAACCACAATCCCGTCCCGTTCCAAGCGGGACAGGGTGTAGTCAATGATGCTGACTTGCAGGCCACGGGTGGGGATGGTGCTGCTCTTCCCGTTGAGGGTGTAGTGGAGTTCTTTGAGGCTGGTTTTCTTTAAGAGCACATTCCCCCAGTGTAAGTCTCGGTGCTCAAACCGCAGTGATGCCTCCGCCACTGCAAGGGAGGCTGTGAGCTGGTGTAGAATGCTCTTTGCAGTAGCCAAGGAAGACAACTTGGATTTCATTTGCTCTAGGTCAGTCCCTCCAAACTCAAATTCCAGCACAATGAAGAGCTGGTCGTCTTTAAAAAAATCAGGCCGGTCATTTGCAGAGCCTTTGGTTGAATGATAGTGATCCCAGGCTTTGAGGAGCAAGGGAGGGTAAGACCCCTGGACACAGTGCACTGAGTTCAGCCCGATAAAGCCTTCTGTGCGGTTGCACACTTCACCGGATAAGAGGCTCAACTCTTTGGAGATGATGATCTCCGGCAGGATTTCCTCAAAGGTTTTCTGATGGGATCCATTGACTAAATCGGGTCCTTCAATAGCAATGATTTTTATGGCTACAGGTGCGTGATCAGCAATTGTTCGAAACACTTCGCCAAACACCCCTTCCCCAATCTTCTCACAGCATTGCAGTTTTTCTGTGGGAAGGCAATGGCTAAAGGGGACAGGACCCTTCTGATTGCATTCCCCATAAACCTTTTCAGCATCAGATGCCTTTTTGTTTGAAATACTTAGAGTGTTTAAGGGACTTAGCAAATACATTGAGGAGGAGTGCCAAGAGGACAGAGCACCACTTGTTTTGTTCATGACATGCCGGTTTGAACATTCTGATAGGAGGGATCCAGAGAGAGACGTGGCAATGGTATAGGTGCTGCAGACCTCTGACACATCAGTCACAATTTTCTTCTTGTGGAAACTGAAGGAAGCCCTGGTTTTGGTCCAAAAGCTGGCATTCTGTAAAGGAGTCAGGTCCTGGGTGGGGAACGAATCTTTTCTCATCTTTTGGCCCTTTTTAAAGTGGTGGGAATGGAGGAGAGAGGTTTCCCTTGCCTCCTGATGTTTGCTCTTCCGGCTTGGTCTAGTTCTTTCCAGCCTGTCGATTCCCCCTGGCACAATGCGGCCCTTGGAAACGCTGGCTTCCTGATGCTCTCTCCGGACGGCCTCTTGAAGCCCTCTCTCTTGACAAGAGGCTTGGCCCGTGGCCCTCCTCTTGCCTGTGTTTGACAGACTTGGACACTCCGGTCCACTTCCCACCAGTTTCCTTTTACTGCAGTATTCCCTCATATTCTTCCCATCTGCCCCAAACTCAGAATCCTCAGGGGTTCCTGAGTTCACAAGGCCAAAGATTGCTGACCTGAGGCTGGCACGGGTTTGGTGGACCATCCTGGTGAGCCTGACTCCTCCTGTCGCTTCCTCCTGGGAGCAGGGGAGAGACGCTTGGTCCAGGGAGACTTCCGGGAGGTAGAGGCCGCTCGGGACGGCTGAGGCTGCAACCAGAGAGGCGGAGGTGCCGATCGAGATGACCCTGTCCCTTGGCGTTGGGGACCCGGGGCCGGATGAGGCCAGAGAGCTGAACAGGGAAGCACTGCTGCCTACCTCGTCGCCGTCCCTGGGCTGGCCGCACGCGCTGAGGTCCGGGCTGAGGCGGCC